AAATTGATATTCGACGTAGTTTACAGCAAAATTTATGGCTAACTCATCTAAAGACGAAGAGGTCAATCTGGTCGATCCTTTGTTTACTGTTGGATCTTCGCCTCCTGCGGATCGCCATGAAGAATTATTTTACGGGGAAAATAAAGGCGCAGCAGGCAATAGATTTAAAGTTCAAACGGCAGAGGGAAAAGAATATAGTATCCTCCGGCTAACGAACGCCTTTATTTCGGCGAAACGATCGTGGCGACGGCAATTGAACCATTTACAAGTCCAAGTTATTACACAAAAGGACATTCCTGCATTGCGACGAGATTGCGAAGTCCTGGAGGAACGAATGCGAGAATTGTTTAAAGTTCAAGAAGCATTAGAAGAAGCAGCTGAGTCCGAGGACGAAATAGGAAAACTTGATCGGAATCTAGAAGAACTAGCGAGAGAAAATAATGCCATTCTACGGCAGGTCGGAGACAGAATTAAGGATTTGGAGGCGGCGCTCCTGGAACGTAATTCAACACGCTCAACTTCGACCCGTAAATCAAACAATTCCAAGAAGCAACTCATCCCAGAAATCGGGAAAAAGTAACATTTCTTTGGCACAGCGGCGAATTGGTCTTGAAGAAGATATTGCAACCTTGAAAGCAACGATCGCCCTATCCCAGGAAAGGGAAGCTATGGAAATGCAGAGCAGGAAGATGCTTGAGGAGATTGAGCGGCGCAAGATGGAAGTTTTCAAGGAAGAAGAAAGAACTTTAGAAGAGATCCGAAAACTGCAAGACAGTTTCAAGTTAAGAGAAGAACTAGCACAGAAGGAAGCAATGGTTAATGAGTACGTCAAAATAGAAAAGGAAGAGTGCGCGCTTCACTGGGCAGAAGAAGAGTTTGACCTCCCTGTGGAAGATGGCAGAAGCGAACAAATGGAAAGATTTCTCCGTGGCTNAGAGGTCAATCTGATCGATCCTTTGTTTACTGTTGGATCTTCGCCTCCTGTGGATCACCATGAAGAATTACTTTACGGGGAAAATAAAGGCACAACAGGCAGTAGAGTTAAAGTTCAAATGGTAAAGGGAAAAGAATATAGTATCCTCTGGCTAACAAACGCCTTTATTTCAGCGAAACAATCATGGCGACGGCAATTGGACCATTTACAAGTTCAAGTTATTACACAACAGGGCATTCCTACGTTGCGACGAGATTGTGAAGTCCTGGAGGAGCAACTGCGAGAATTGTTTAAAGCTCAAGAAGCATTAGAAAAAGCAGCTGAGTCCGAGGACGAAATAGGAAATCTTGATCGTAATCTAGAAATACTAGCGAGAGAAAATAATGCCATTCTACTGCAGGTCGGAGACAGAATTAAGGATTTGGAGGCGGTGCTCCTGGAGCATAATTCGATATGCTCAACTTCGACGCGTAAATCAAACAATTCCAAAAGAAGCAACTCATCCCAGAAATCGGGAAAACGTAACATTTCTTTGGCACAGCGGCGAATTGGTCTTGAAGAAGATATTGCAACCTTGAAGGCAACAATCGCCCTATCCCAGGAAAGGCAAGCTATGGAAATGCAGAGCAGGAAGATGCTTGAGGAGATTGAGTGGTGCAAGATAGAAGTTTTCAAGGAAGAAGAAAGAGCTTTAGAAAAGATCCGAAAACTCCAAGGCAGCTTCAAGTTAAGAGAAAAACTAGCACAGAAGGAAGCAATGGTTAATGCGTATGTGAAAATAGAAAAGGAAGAGCGCACATCTCACTTGGCAGAATAAGAGTTTGACCTCCCTGTGGAAGATGGCAGAGGCAAACAAACGGAAAGATTTCTCCGTAGCTTACCTGAATCCAAGCCCCCGGCACCTCGTTTGCCATCATCTATCTCTCCTGCTTCCAAGCCAAGTTCATTAGACCCTTCATTGCCCGTGTTTGTTCCAATAAGTGTACCTGTATCAGCAAATGCGCCTGTAAACATGACCTGGTCGTACTCTCCTAGAATCTCTCTGAAACAAGAGTTAAACAAGACCGTAAGCGCAGATCCTCCTAAACCTGCAAACTCAGTGCAGGATCAGCTACTAGAAATTGCCAGACTCTTGGCAGAAAACCAAAGCCACAGCCGATTGCCTCTTCCTGAACCAGGCATCTTCAACGGAGATCTGCTCCAGTATCCTGTTTGGATTAAGGCATCTGAAACTCTAATTGAAAGTCGAGCCATCAAGCCCAACAAGAGACTACACTTCCTTGGAAAGTATGTGACAGGAGATGCTAAAGAAGTAGTTAATGGCTTCCTGCTTCTCGAGTAAGAGGACGCCTATCAGAGGGCTAAGTAGATGCTTGCGAAACGTTTTGGTGACCCCTATGTAGTAGCTGCGGCTTATCACCAAAACATAGAGTCCTAGTCAAAAATACCTGCCAATGATGGATATGGTCAGACTTTCTGGTGCAATGCGAAAAGGCAATGGACAAGATTGGTAGCCTCAAGGTACTTAACGACGACCAAGAGAATCCCAAACTGGCCTCCAAACTTCCCAAGTGGGCAATTGATTGTTGGAGTCGTATTGTTCATCAATTTAAGACAGAAAAAGATACATTCCCCCCATTTTCCAAGTTTGTGAAGTTTCTTTCCAGAGAAGCTGACATTGTGTGCGATCCTGTCATCCCAGTCCATCAAAGAAGGTGACAATAAAAAACCAAACAATGATGACGGGCGTGGCAAGCCTAAGTTTGGATATCGAAGAAGAACGTTCGGTTCAAGCTTCTTCACAAACAAGGGAAACAAAGCTGCTGGAAGGACTTGTCGACTCTGTAAGGGGCATCACGACTTAGATAAGTGCGAAGAATTCAAGAAGAAAGATATCCCATCAAGAAAGGAATATGCAGCGACAAATGGATTGTGTTTCATCTGTCTTGAGCCTGGACATTTGTCAAGAATGTGTATGAAGAGGAAAGTTTGTGAGATTTGTGGGAGATTACATCCAACACCCTTTCACAGGGGTTTCCAAAGGGCAAGAAAGAAAAGAAGGAAGCGAAGGCGGTAACAGTGACTCTAATAAAGATTCTGGACAGCTGACACAAGGTGGTTCGACAACCTGCTCCATGACTGGTCCAGGCGAAGAACAAATAAGTTCTCTAATTGTTCCTGTATGGTTATCTCATAAGGA